CAACAGTTTGCACCCACACAGAAACACAAAGTGAAAAATACTGTTTGAGTACTAGTTATAGCATTAAATCACAATGTACAGCACACTAAGGACAAAGATCCTACATGAGGAGTAAGTGCAAATGATAACATTAACAAACTTAACTCTTAAAATGCTGTGCTATCCATCAGAATATTTTTATTTTTATGATTGTTAAAGATTTATTTATTTGAAAGGCAGAGTTAACAGAGAGAAGGACAGGTAGAGGAAGAAATCTTCCATACACTTGGACAGCGCCACGGCTCGCTAGGCTAATCCTCTGCCTGTGGCGCTGGCACCCTGGGTTCTAGTCCCGGTTGGAGCGCCAGATTCTGTCCTGGTTGCTCCTCTTCCAGTCTAGCTCTCTGCTGTGGCCTGGGAAGGCAGTGGAGGATGGCTCAGGTCCTTGGGCCCTGCACCAGCATGGGAGACCAGGAGGAAGCACCTGGATCCTGGCTTCAGATCGGCTCAGTGCGCCAGCTGTAGCAGCAATTTGAGGCGTGAACCAACGGAAGGAAAACCTTTCTCTCTGTCTCTCTCTCTCTCACTGTCTAACTCTGCCTGTCAAAAAAAATCTTCCACACACTGGTTCATTCCCTAAATGGCTGCAACTGCTGAGGCTAGGCCAGGCCTAAGCCAGGAGCCAGGATCTATTTCTATATCTCCCAGGTAGGTGGAAGGGGCCCAGGGACTTGCACATCTTCTGCTGCTTTCCCAGGAGCATTAGAGGGAGTTAGATTGGAATTGGAGCAGCTGAGACAGGAACCAGTGCCCACAGGGGATGCTGGTGCTGTAGGCAGTGCCTTTACCCAGTGCGCTGCAATGCAGGCCACCCATCAGAATTCCTACACTAACTCAGCATGATGAAGACAATAACTCTAGCTCTACCACCCACTCCATGCTTCCCTCCTAAGGACCCATTTTCTCATCCTTGATCAAGTTTATATATATTTTCTAGACATTTCACCTTTCTTCTACTTTTTTTTTTTTTTGACAGGTAGAGTTAGTGAGAGACAGAGAAAAAGGTCTTCCTTCCATTGGTTCACCTCCCAAATGGCCGCTATGGCTGGCACTGTGCCAATCCAAAGCCAGGAGCCAGGTGCTTCCTCCTGGTCTGCCATGCAGATGCAGGGGCCCAAGCACTCAGGCCATCCTCCACTGCCCTCCAGGGCCACAGCAGAGAGCTGGACTGGAAGAGGAGCAACTGAGACTAGAACCCAGCGCCCATATGGGATGCTAGGGCCTCAGGCAGAGGGTTAACCAAGTGAGCCATGGCGCCGGCCCCCTCCTCCACATCTTTTTTAAGTGTGAGCTCCACTGAAAGCATGTGGGAAGAAACCTTTGATGAATGAAATAGAAGACATGCGAACTTTGGTCTGAATCAGTACTTAACCTTGAATAATTATTGTGAGATTATCACTAGTGCTTTTAAAGATCTGTCTAACTGTGCCTTGAATATACGGTCTTCCAGTAATTTCTTTAAAACATGCAATCCCTTTTCATTTTCTGTTTTTCTATTTCTGCTTTTCACCCTCCAAGGATTATCAGCAGCTTCTGTGCCACTGTATTTCAGTTCTTTTAGAGAAGTAGACTTTTAGACTTCAGAGACAGGCCGTTGATCCTTTTATTCTGTGACCATTCTGCTCTTACTTTTGGGCATGTTCATGCAGCTTCCATGGGCCTCTGTTTCTGCTTTATAATATCTCTAATAATTTGTCTTATTCTGATGCTCTGACAGTTCTGTTTGACTTAAGAAAATTTGATTAAATATAAGAGATTCTCAGTGATTCTCTTTTTTTTTTTAAGATTTTATTTATTTATTTGAGAGGTAGAGTTAGACAGTGAGAGGGAGAGACATAGAGAGAGGTCTTCCTTCTGTTGGTTCCCTCCCCAAATGGCCACAACAGCCAGAGCTGCACCCATCTGAAGTCAGGAGCCAGGTATTTCCTCTGGGTCTCCCACGTGGGCCCAAGCACTTGGGCCATTTTCTACTGCTTTCCCAGGCCACAGCAGAGAGCTGGATCAGAAGTGGAGCAGCCGGGACTAGAACTGGCGCCCATATGGAATGCCAGCACCGCAGGCAGAGGATTGACCTACTGGCCATGGCGCCAGCCTCTCAATGATTCTCTTTTAAAGTGAGTGTAAAGAAGACAGAAATCCAGATAGAACATTTGAACCTAAAAATTCGGTAGTCGTGTCTTCAGCAATGTAGACTTCCTCTGTTGCATCACCTATGATCTCATTGTGCTCCTTCTTCTCATATAGTATGCCTTCTAAAGGCAGAAAAGAACTTGGTGAACAGTTCTCTTTTTACTTAGCAATATTCAATATTTTTTTTCATAGGGTAATGTGTCCATATGAAAACTAAGGAAGTTTCTCAATCCTGGTTGCACATAAGAATAATCTGGATTTTAAAGGACTATTGGCACCTGACCCTCTTCCTTATACCTGTTCCCTCACTTGCAAAAATTCTGAATGAATTGGTGTGGGGTGTAGTTTTAGCATTAGCATTTTTGTACAAACTTTCTTGGTGATTCTAGTGTATAGCCTATGCTTAGACGTACTGAGTGGAGTTAATAATGGTTATGAGACTTGCAATCCTAATAAGGAGGACGAAGTATGTCTCCCAATTTGTACACTCAGAAATATAAGAAAAGCAGAAAGTTTTCTACACTAGGTAATATAAATTATTGAACCTTTCTCATCCTGTAAGTCTAAAATGTGAATAATTGTGAGACTTTGCTTAATGCAGTCTTTCTCATGTATGGTCTCAGACCCAACAGCATCAGAATCATCTGGGGTCTCATTAGAAATGCAGATTACTGGGCCTCTCCCTAGGCCTACTGAATCAGAATCTCTAGGAGCAGAACCAAGCAATCTGTATTCCTTCCAGAGATCGTTTTGAATGCTCTAGTTTGAAAACCATTAGTCTGGTAGAGGGTTGTTTTATGAATGGAAGCTCAGGAGTGGATGTCATGAAGTGGTTAAATCACAACTTAACTATTCCCTGCCATTTCAGAGGGCCTGGTTTGAGTCCCCACTACTCCGCTGTGGAACAAGCTTTCTGCTAATACCTACCCTGGGCCACAGCAGATAATGGGTCAAGTACTTGTGTCTATCGCCACCCACCTGGGGAACCCAGGTTGAGTTAGAGTCCTGGCATTTGGCCTGGCCCAGCCCTGGATATTGTGACCATTTGGCGAGTGAACCAGCAGATGGAAGCGCTCTGTCTCTCAAATTAAGAAATATATTTTTAATTAAAATCTAAAATCTCAACTTTATTAAAATTTTAAAAAATGAAGAAAAAAATCTTAGCGTATTTTCTAGTGGATACAGAGTCCCAGAAACAGAATGCCTTAGAGGGGGTGTGCATGACTGCTTGGTCGTCTGATTTTTGCTGTGGGCTAGCCATGATGGCTTTTAGTTACTATTCTGATCCTAATCACTTATAAGGCAAATGAAGGAAAGCGAACCATTTCAAAGGTATGTCAGAACCATCAAACCACCTTACCATGCTATCACTGTGTCCAGACTTCCCTTCGTAGACACTTCATTTTAGAAACCTGGTAGAATGCTTTGATACTATCCAAAAGCAACTCATTTAATGGTGGAGGCTACTGCCCGCCTGCTGTGTGTTAGATGACTGGAATGCAAGGAACAGCCACTTACCCATAAATGGAGAGCACTTCCCCAAAACGTACAAGGAAAATGATGAACAGAACATGCTTAAAAATGAGTTGTGGTTTTTCCAGTAGAATTTTTTTTTGATGTTATAATAATTTTATTAATTTCACCAAAATTTAAAATTTTTTAAATTAAAATTCCACAATATTTAACACCAAAACCAAAAGAATCTATAATTTTCCCCAGAAACATTTTATTTAAGGAATATGAACTTCATGCATTTCATAAATACAACTTTAGGAACATAGTGATTCTTGCAAAGATTGCTTCAAAGAATTCTATTCCATGAACCATACAGCTTATGAGCCGTGTGTGTGTGTGTGTGTGTGTGTATTTATGTATGTATCTAAGATTTGAGAGATTAGATTTGACTCTTTTCTAACTAACTTCAATGTGCTGTTCTTGTTAGAGATGTTAGGATTTTTTTTTTTTTTTTTTGGACAGGCAGGATTTCTTGCAATGCCAAACTTCTTTGTTTCTTGCTGCAATAATATATAATTTATAACTTGAAGGTTGTTTATTTCAGTTTCTCCTCATTATATGGACATCTTTTTAGATTAGTCTTTAGCAAATCATATTTTAGCCAGATATTCCTTTCTTGGAAATCCTAATCCCTACTGCATGCATTCAAACCCTTTGCTAAATGTGTAATGCTCTGCAAGGCTTAATTACTTCACTTCTCTAATTTTTATGATCTGCTAGTATTATTTTATATTCCCATATTTTTGCCATATTATGCCTTGTTCTTTATACTCTGGATTTTTTCACTTCTATGACTGTGCCTATACGGTTCTCCCCTTTCTATTTGGAGTGGACTTGCCCTCAACATCATGTTTAAGGACAACTCTATAGGCCACTGAAATCTGCCTTGTTTCTCTACTTTGCACCAAATTTATCTTTATTCCCAAATGTATGGTTGTATTTCTTCATAAATTGCATCTTGTATAATCCTTACTTGTGCACTCATTTTGCCCCTCCTATTTGACTGAAAGTGTATTGATTGCAAGCACCAAGTCTTGTATAATTACTTCATCCCTTCCCCTTCTCTGCTCTTCCTGAAGGTACTAGACCCCTGGAGACTAGCCTTTATGCCAGTTCTGCACAGCAAATCTGGTCCTCTTCTGTAACGTAAGGGTACTAATCAAACTGAGTAAAACTAAGGGAATAATTGCTACAAAAGGCAAGCAAGTATGTGTGAAAGCCAGTTACAAAAGGGTAAGATGCCAAAAAAGACATCTTTTTAAGAGTATCTTAAAATTGCATCCCCATTAATCTCATGCGTGCATTTCCTTTTGCAGGAGACTTTCTTCCACCACCACCTCCACCCCTAGATGATCCTGGTACACTTCCATCTGGCTCTGGAAACTTCCCTCCTCCGCCAGCCATTGACGAAGGCGCCTTTAAGATGCAGGTATGAACCGTAGTTGAGGTCATGTCGATAAGTTATGCTAGCATGATCATGAATTCACTGATTGTTTTTGTGGGGTAGACATTTATCCAGAGCCTATAGAGAGCCTTACAACTTAGAAAGAACTAAGGCACGTTAATACAAATAGCCCAGCTCAAGCTTCCCCACGTTCTGCTGGCTTACTTTCTGCAGCCCTGGAAATGCTTTTCCTATAATTTCATTTTAAAACTCAAAGGAAAGTTTTTTAGGAATGCCACACAAGAAGCCCACATTTTCTTTTCCTGGAGAAACATTGCCTATTTTTATGCTTTGTCTTTTATTCTCTATCTATAATCATTACATTTTAAATAAGTGATGCTGACCTTCTAAGGCTTTGATTGGTCACTATGGATCTCACCTAATTGGTCAGCAACATTTTTGTAGCGACAGCAAAAATCCTTAGGGTTTTCTCTTCGGAGTAATTTCAAGGATACATATTATAGATATGTGTCAATTACATAGAATTCCTGTGTTCGTGAGATGGTTGGCTGCAGTGGAACTCAAGGTTGGAGTCAGAGGGGCCATTCATCTTCAGATCTTAGGTGCTGCCTAGCAGCTGTTATCAGTTAGGGTCATATCAGGAAGCAAAACTAATACAGTCACAAAATTATTGTTATACTTTTAGATATGGTAATGTTGATGGGGTAGGAAACCATTTTTTCTGCCAAAGGCCATTTGGATATTCGTAACATCATTTGTGAGCTATACAAAATCATCAACTTAAAAAGTAGCCTACCATAGATTTATTGCATTTCAAATCCCACCTTTGGTTGCTTTGGCAGGGCTGGACCAAAGGGTTTCATGGGCCTTATATGGCCTGTGAGCTGGACATTCTCCTCCCCAGATAGTGAAGAAACAAAGAATGAAAGGTGAAATGCAATGGTGTCTGGTATCGGCTTCACAATAATAAGTGTAGGAAGCTTGGGGCCGGCGCTGTGGCTCACTTGGTTAATTCTCCGCCTAAGGCACCGGCATCCCATATGGGCGCCGGGTTCTAGTCCTGGTTGCTTTCTTCCAATCTAACTTTCTGCTGTGGCCCGGGAGGGCAGTGGAGGATGGCCCAGGTGCTTGGGCCCTTGCACCCACGTGGTAGACCAGGAAGAAGGACCTGGCTCCTGGCTTCGGATCAGCGCAGCACCGGCCATAGTGGCCATTTGGGGAGTGAACCAACGGAAGGAAGACCTTTCTCTCTCTCTCTCACTGTCTATAACTCTACCTGTCAAATTAAAAAAAAAAAGCAAGTGTAGGAAGCTAATGCCAGAGAGAACATAGATAGCAAAGATTAGTTATAACTTGATAACTAGGGGGTGCATGGATATTTATTGTATTATTCAATCTATGTTTATAATTTTTAAAATTCCCACAATACTTGTAAAGTTGTCTAGCAAAGTTTCATGATAAATGTGACTTATGAAAAAATTATGCATGTATTTCAAAGTTTTTTGACACCCAACCATACATCTTATAAATTCTTTTTCATGAACTTTTTAAAGCATCCATATAAGAAGTGCAAAAGCAGAAAAAGCAATACAAAATAATTCCTTACGTGGTTCAAGCCATTTTCTGGATTTATTTCTTTTAAATTTCAAGCTGGAAGAGTTAAAGAAATCATTCATTCATGCAATCACACATCTTCTGTGTTCTTGCCCAGTGTTCAAGCATTAGGGATTCTGTCACTAAGAGGACAAATGGTTCTGCCCTATTGAACCTGCCAGTAACTGGACCTAGTGGAAGTGAAGCAGGCACATTTCAAAGTGTTAGAATGGGAGGGATATGCTGGGTAGGGAGAACAGGGAGAGGGCGATAGATACCTCACAAGGTTGTGGTCAGTGAGGTCTCACTGAGAAGGTGACACTTAAAGACCTGGAGAAGAGGAAGGGATGAGCCATGTAGATTTCATGGGAAGTTTATTTTCATGTAGTAAATGTTAAAAAATAAAAGAAACTTTATTGGTAGCTTGAAAATTGTAACTATTAAGTTCCCATTTAGTTTGTGTCTAGATCATTAAAAACTAAAAATTTTGTGTCTACATACATTTATATATAACACATTTTCTGCATTTTATTTTACCGTAAGCTACCACAATAAAAGATCAGATTCTAATTTTGGAAAAGAGTCATACAATTTGTATTTATTTTCTGTGATGAAATAAATTTTACAATAGATAAAGCCCTTGAAAAATAAAACAATGATTGATTTTCCTACTTATTTTTCCATGAAAAATATTTAAATACAGTTAATTTTGCTTTTTATATACCTTTGCTTTTATTTTGTTGGGGGTTGTTGGTTATATATTGTTTAATGTGCACAATTTAGACATTCACTAATGCTCTTTTCTCTCTTGGATTATTAGAGAAACTGTTCTGTTGCATTTTAAATCGTTAGTTCTAGAGTTGTTTTACCTAGCCATAGAAGGCTCGTGCTTGAAAACTATTTGAACAACTTTTTCTAGTTGAGTGATATTGAGCCAGTTACACTAAGTCCCAGTTTCCTCATAACTAAAAAGAAGGCAACTATACCTATTTCTTATAATTAAATGAAATGTAAATGGATAAAAATAATAATGAGGACAATAATGAGGTCTTTGCTAATGGGTTTAATTTTTTAAAAAATCATCAAATCCAAGAACATAAGATGCGTTTGATTTCTCTTCAATTTCTTTCCTAAATGTTTTCTAGTTTTCATTCTCATTAAAGTTTTCTAGTTTTCATTGTCAAATCTTTTACCTCAGTGGTTACATTTATTCCTAGATTAGTTCATTTTATTGGTAAAATGAATTTATCTGTCTATGGCATTACATTCTGATTTCTTTTCCCTGGTCGTTTGTTCCTGGCATATGAAATGGTTCTTATTTTTATACAACTTTGTATCTTGCAACTTTACTGAATTTGTTCATTGATCCTAATAGTTTTTTTATGGAGTCTTTAGAATTTTACATGTATATCACCACGTCATCTGCAAACAGAGATCATTTGACTTCCTATCTCTCCCATTGCGATGCCCCCTCGTTTTTTTCTCTTGCCTGATTACCCTGGTGAGGACTTTCCAGACGCTGCTGGGCAAAAGCGGCGAAGCTGGGCATCCCTCCCTTGCTCGTGTGGCTTCCATAAGTTGACAAAAGAGCGTCTTCCATAGGGGCCTTGTTCCGGTAAATGTACTCCAGCCCTGGCTTTGTTTGTGAAGAGGAAGGAAATAAACAGAAAGCTTGTTGCCATGTTGGCTTATGTCCTCTGTAAAACAGAAGGGAGGGGGATAAAAAATAAAATACAGTTTGCCAAACAGAGAAGGACAAATCTGGTAGGGAGAGGCAGGTTATTTTTGAGACTCTTCATATGGGAGATCGTTGGCGAGTTCAAACAAAAATGGACATGCCCTTCCCTTGTTTAGTGGGGACCTAGATGTGCTGATGGCTTGGCCCTGCTCTGGCTGTATTTGTCCCACCTTGGGGTATGAGTTATGATGCAGCCTAAAGTAATATGATCTGCAAAGAAAAATGTTGTACTCTTTCCTCTCAGCTTTGGTAAAACCTAATGTTGCCAAGTCCAAATTATAGCTGGTAAATGTGTGTTTTTATGTAGAAATCTGTTTATGTTTCCAGCCAAATTTTTTAGATTAGAGCCAAGAGAATGTCTACTAAGTGTGACTATGAGAGTTATAAGATTTTCAAAGCTGGAAAGGAACTTGGAGATCCTTTAACTCAACCCTGGCGCCAAGCTTCTACTTACAAACCCTTCAAGTACTTGAATGAATGAGTACCCTGTTTTTGGACATGGGTAAACTGAGACCCAAGGACGTATGGATTCTGTTTTCTGACAGAGCTGTTCAAGTCTGAGAAATCTCTGCTTCTGCCTTGATCTTCTCCCCATGGATCACCACTGTATCAGATGTCCCAAACACTTAGCTTTGCCCTGTGTCTCTTTGAGACTGAGACTTGATGATTTGGAGTAAGGAGATTATATTCTTTAATATGGAAGAACAAGATTCGGCTGGGGCTTTGCTTCATTCTCTGAATCTTTGCTATGTGCTAGAAACTTTTTTCTTTGCAAACAACAGGTAAGTATGTAATGTCAGTAATTGTTATTTAAGAATTCTTATGGGAAAAGATGCATCTTTGTGGGGAGGGGGAGTGAAGGATTTGGTTTGTTTTGTCCAAATCAATGTGACTTCAGTGTCTATGAAGTTTGTAGTGACCCTATGGCAGTCACTTCACCCATTCATTTATTCTCCATGCATTTAGTATAAATTGGATGCCATCTATCAGTAGACACATGTGCTAGTGATTTCAGCCTGAGGATTGGCATCCTAGGTCTCGTGCCCTGAGTCTCACCCTGGGACTATTGGTTAGCTTTGTTCTGATCTGATGTCACAGTTGGGAACATTCCCATTTTCAGTCAGCCTATAAAGCACTTCTTAGAGTACTTATAGAGCGGGAGAATCCCCACAAAATTTCAGGTTTGCATGGGAATTAGAGATCAAGCATTCAAATCTCTTTCTGCTTGAATTTTATTATTTTTTTTTCAATTTGGTAAAATGTTTATGGTTGACTATTGTAGGCGAGATAATGCCAAAGGATAAGGAGAGGGATCAAATACAGTAATCAGAATCAAAATTGTGATTATCTGAATACAGTTTTAAAATTCAGATGTCTCATGATAAATTATGCCACAGTTGTCATGCTGTGATCAAAAGCACAACCTAGGTCCCATGGTAGTGGAAGAGGAGAGAGATAGATTAATGTGCCAGGACATGGGCAAGAAAGGGCCTAGGAAACAATTTCAGTTGATCTTAACTTTAATGTCTGAATAGGGTCGGAATTTTCATATGGGGCAAGGATTTTTCCGTAGTAAAGTATTAAGAATTGAAACGGGGCACCGGCGTTGTGGAGTAGTAGGTATGCCACCTCCAACAACCAGCATCCTGTTTGGTTTCCAGTTTGTGTCCCAGCTGCTCCACCTCTGATCCAG